GGGGATACATGGTTCCACCACCTCAATATAAGAAAGCAGTTAATTCTATTACCAACATCGTTTTTGATATCCTGATAATTTACATTGCAACACACATTTTTGATATTCATCATCAAATAAACGCTTTTTAAGTCAAGGTGACGTGTCTGTCACATCATTGCATACTGCATCTTAACACCCTTTACTGTAGTAATCAAGCAGGTATTACACTGGTTAGTATGTTCAGCTTTATATGCAATAAATTTGCATTTGTTTTTTGAATCCATTAACCAATTTTAATATACATGTGTGTAGCATGTAAAAGGTGCTTGGAAATGTAAACATTGGCTGAAAAACGAAAACATGTCGCTTTAATTTTTTCATCGAATTTTCGAACATCGATTATTTTGCGATTATGATCAATGAATTTTTTGATCAATATATTAACCTGAAACAAGTAGATTATAAATGTTGATTACAGTGGTGAAAGAATGAATTCATATACTTGAAGAGGTATAAGAGACTAACTTATGAAGGCCAAGATTTGTTTTTCTTTGTATGCTAATCTGATACAAAATGCTTTATCACTTTGAAATGATTAGATTAAACTGGTAACAAAACAAAGTAGGCTGATTAATAAACACTAAAAACAAGCATATATCATTTGTGCTCAAAAAGCACAGAGGTAAAAAGTAATGAATTAAATTGCTATGTATTATTTCAGTAAAAAATGTAATCACCAAATATAGAAGCAACAGTACGAGGACAAAGTTTTTGACTTGAAAATATATTAATCACTTCTTGCAATGAAATTATATTTATGCAAGTCACATTTGTAATACACCACGGCACAATTATTTTCAAAAACTTTTTGAAACAACCTGATTATTGTAGAACTCTTTTGTAAAGTCTGCTCATAATAGTAAATACAGACATCTGCTGCCTGTTCAAATGTGTGTCCAAACAAGATAAAATCCAGGAGAGTTAACTTTAACAGATTCAAAATCAGTTGTACCATTTTTAAAGGCTATAAACTTTACTTTTCACCAAAGAATCAGCAATTCCGGATAATTTTTAAACTGTCTTATTATAAATTTAACTTTTTTTTTATTGGTCATTATGGTTTATAATATCGTGAATTTTTAAACATTGATTAACAGCTGAAATGTTTGCAACTTGTAATGTAATTATGTTACTTTAAACTTGTTGGTTGTCAAAATGTCTGGCAATGTTGATTTTGACAATATAGAAACGAAAGCGTGCTGTGATATAACTTACTGAAATAAACTGATTATTTTTATGAAAACGAATGCATTACTAGCTGAACACAACTTGCATAATACAACTGTATAGGCCAAATTATAACTGGAAATCGCAATGATTATGATAGAAAAGCTGTATGTGAGTGCAAGGGATTCAGAACAACTGTTATAACTTGTAGATTTGGCAACATTGATCTGAACTTTAACCCCATTCTGTCAATCATTAACACACTTTTATGTAAATCTTGTTAGTTTCTACTAACAATCTAATTTCACCTCAGGAAAGGTTCTGTCCATGAGGGAACAAAGTTTGGGTTTGCGCATACACTCGTCTGCTTCCCGAATCGGCTTCACAACCTCCCGACGGAAAACACTGCTACTTATCTCAGAACATTTAGCCATAGAGACCTGCAGGGCCTCCACAAAGTCTTGGTAAACGCTCATTATGGTTTCTATTCTGCTGAGCCAACCAGAGAAGAATCCTTTGTAACCGGACATTATAATATCTGAAAATGGTTGCTGGAATTTCACTTGACCGTTGCGCTCCCTCAAAACATCTTGGAATTTCTCAAAGTCTTGTTTGCGAGAACCCCAATACCTAGAAAGGTTCTTGCCATATACCTGAGCAACTGAATAATAACATTTCCTGAAGTCACTGACTTTTGACAGAAGAATATTAATCTGCGTCGGCGTACAAGAAGTCATTGCCCACTTCACATAGTGCATTATCGATTCATCCCTGCCAAGTAGGCTTGAATGATTGAGATTATCAAACGCAGCCTCTATTAGCTTCTGACTAGCCCCCGATGGATGACGACCTCTTTTAAAGAAGTGTCTGGCAAGACGGAACAGGGCATTGGCTTCATAGTTATGGGCATGTGCAAGGATGGTGTTCGGCACAGTTGATAGCTTGCGATTCTCAAGATCAAATACAAGCATCATATCCTGAATATTGCTATCAGTCAATGTTTGAGACATCGATAGATATTCCATCAAAAGATCCACAATGGGTTCCGGCAGAGAACTCCAATCATCCTGCATGGAGTTCTTCAATTTACGGATGTAATCCATTATCTCAGCTGGCCTTAGGTACTTCTGCCACGTTCCCAGAAATAATGGTACTCCATTCACTCCCAGCTTAGCAGCAAGATTGAAGACATCGTTCTGATGATGATAGGAAGAGGTATAATAGAATCTCCGTGAGGATGAACTGACATCTTTGAAGCATTTAATACCAGCTATACCAACTTTAACCACAGCAACCATATCGATTTGACTGTTCAGCTCTGCTTTATCTTTCATCACTTTGAAGATGGAATGAATCAAGTCAGGATCTTGAAAATTACAAATACATTCTTGCACCTGTCAAAGAAAGTACCAATAATGTTAATTAAAACATGGAAAAAGTTGCCATACACGTACCAGTAGATTTCCATGCCATTTCTTTTCAACAAAATAGCCAAGCAACACACACAAATTGATTATAATTATGATCAAAGAAATCTTAGAAAGAACTCCCATGTGCTGAGAGTATTGGAGATACATTAAATATAATTCAAAATTACTTGTACTTGATTGAGATAGTGATGGAAAAACTGAAAACTAATAATGCAAATCAGAAAATTAATATGAACAGATTTGAGTGTAAAACTAATGAGGCCTGTGCAATGTAACAGACCATCTATGTACCAAGTTTTATTGAAATGTGATTGGAACCAAACAAAATTATGAATTATTATGCTAATTAGGGAATTAATATAAACAGATTTTAACCCCAAACTAATCAGGATTGGACATTGTCCTGGAGCATCTTTGTACTAAGTTTCATTGAAATGGAATAATTAGTACTTTAGATATCAGTGTGATAGCTTAAAAATGATTAATTATGCGAATTAGTAATTAATATGTACAGATTTTAACCCACAATTATCTAGGTCTGTCTATTGTCCTCGAGTATCTATGTACCAAGTTTCATTGAGATGTAATGCTTACTACATCAAAAGCTGAAAATTAATTAATTATGCAAATTAGGTAATTAATATGCACTGATATTACCTTAAAAACTATCAGGTCTGTGTAATGTCCTATGACATCTATGTACCAAGTTTCATTGAAATGTGATGATTAGTACTAGAGATATCAGTGGAAAAACCAAAAATTGACTAATCATTATGCAAATTAGTGATTAGTAATTAGGTAATTTTTACCAAAAACTAATCAAAACCTAGCGTTAGTTCAGAGCATCTATGTACCAAGTTTCATCAAAATCCAACAAGTCATGGAACAGCTAAATATTAGCTTATTATCATGCAAATTAGGTAATTAATATGCATGGATTTTTACCAAAACCTAATCTATGCACCAAGTTTCATCAAAAACTGATGTATGGTTCTTGAGATATCAGTGGAACAGACGGACACACATACACACACATACAGACAGACAGACAGACAGACAGACAGACACACTAAATGCAAAGACTCCCATTTTGTGCTTCGCACATGGGAGTCAAAAATAATAAAGAATACTAAACCCAATATTTGCTCTATTAAAAGTACATCTCCAATAGAAACTCAAAGGCCAAATAGAAAAAAAAATTGTGGTTCCTACATGCTTTCCAAAAGTAGGCAAATTTTACACCTCAATCCAAAAGAACATCGTAAAATCTGTATTAGAAGCAGCATCTCTAATAGAAGTCTCATCCATTCTTTTTGAAGAATTGAGAACCAAAAATTCATCATTTCTCATATGTGTAGATGGCTTTAATAGGAGCCGCATCCCCTCTGTTGCATTGTACCATTTTAATAGAAGCCGTGGTTTCTAATACAGAGTTTACAGTACTCTTTTTTTTTTTTCAAATACTTTATACTACTTTACTTTGTATTTATATATATATTTTATTTTTATTTTTATCAGCAAATGTAACCAAACACAAAAAAC